ACACGGATTTGGAATTAGTGCTTTAAGACCAGCACAATGATATGCATCACGGATGGAAACCCTAAATCGACCGAGGGTCCTCCCCTTGTTAGAAGAATTCCAAGACATCGTTGCAAAAAGTTTCTGAGTATTTTGAGCCCCTGACTTATCTTGTAATAAATTAAAGACGGCGAATTATTACCTTCGGCTTCGAAATTCGATCTTCTAATCATCTTCGAGATTCTGACAGGAAGATGGGTAAATTTGTCGGACTTTCTTGTTTACTCTTCTAAAACGAGAGGGGATCGCCAAAACTGAGACCCAAAGCCAAAATGCTTTAGAAGTTGTAAATTTATGCATGGATTGTATTTTAGCATGCCTCACTTTACTAGTGGCACAATACGCTTTTTGGAGAACTTTGGCTCAATTTCGTACTCTTGCAAGTCGTTATGTCTTCTGATATCAATGTAATGTGCTTTCGAATACCTTCGTTTCTCTTCTGTTTTGTGTATGATGTAGTATTTTTCAAAACTTTCCTTTATTTTGTTTATTTGCTGTGGTTCATGTTGGTTTAGCTTTTTGAATATATTTATGTATTTCTCCACTTTCAATGAAGATAAATATAAGGAACGAAGAAGTACTGCTAGTAGTGGTTCTTAAATAGATAAAAATTAGAAACATACAAATCCAAAGACAATGAGAATAATGTCATGACATTTGACGACCCTATTTCATTCTATATAAGTCGCAGTCGATTCGATGAACTATGGGCCGAAACTGGACAGGAGAAACAACAAACAGCGTAGGAAGCATACAGAAAAAATCGAAGATGTAACAAAGAAGATGGAGAACATTCGGCTAACGTTAATGGTTGTTTTGGTCTAGCACTCGAAGGACACTATAATGAAGGATCTACTTTTTCAGAGTTATTTGAACCCGGAGTGTTCATTGTGGCAGATATATCGCCGAGCGTGGAAAAGAAGAGTAAAGACGGAGCAACGTATGCCAAAGAGAACGAGAATAGAAGAAGACGGAACATCCTGTGCAATCTCTTTAATTCGATGAGCTGATGCGGGTGTATAAGCGTAACAAATGACGGCGTTAAGGGCCAGGCATACTTCACGCGATTTCAGTCGCAACGCGACTTGGCAATTTGCCAGAAGTCTTCAGATCCAACACTGGCACACTGCACATGCATAGTGTATATAAACCTACGCGAATTGATAAGATGTCCTATCTTCTGTACATTTAAAATGTGTTTACAGCGAGTTATGGACAGTTGGAATATTGCCAAATCGCGTCGCGACTGAAATCGCGTAAAGTATGTCCGGCCCTTTAGCGTTTATAAGATCTTTTATGGAGTTCCTTACACTGCAATTTCTCGTCCATGGTGCTATACAGTATAATTAAACAGCAATCGCCAATATCGAGGACAAAAGGCTGCGTCATCGTCATTGTCAGCTACTATTACCGCACGAAAACTTCCCCCTGCGGTCAGTGTTACTTCAAATTTTTTACATGGTCATACTGGGCAAAGGTCCTTGCACATTTTATACCATACACTTTCTTAACTGTTTTCAGAATAGATTCAGTAACAAATCGAAGAGTGGCAATTAAAAGAAAATGTAAAGATACATACATCATCCAATATATAAGAATTTTTTATCATGAAAAAGGAAAAAGAAAAGCGTCCAATAATAATTTCATTCATTTATTTGCACAACAGTCAAGGTTCTCTTGAACTGAACAGTGAAATGTGTCCTGGAAGATCAATGCATCTTTTATGTGGAAAGAAAGAAGTTTTAATTTTCAGAAAGAAGGCAATGCTGTCATCTTGAGGCCATGCTGTTACACAATAGAGTCATTGAAGCAAAACTGCTTCCGCATAAAAGCTCCAACATCCTGAATATTTAGGTAAATACTTGAGTATAAGGCAATAGTGATATCATTATATTTAAGGCCTCGATAAAGCGGCATGATTCTGAACAGCTTTTGCTCTTATTTTGCTTCAGAAGTTCTTTCTTATATGTTAATTTCAGGGAAGCTTATTGTCTACATATCATAAGCACATCAGTGGCGGTCCCAGGATTTCCGTCCCGGAGGGGGGGGGGTGCAAAAACTGTTCTAAATGAAGGTGCGTGGCATTAGTCACGCACTCCGAAATTTCTTTGGGGTGCTTCTCAAAATTTTCGCGGTCCATAACGCCACAACCCCGGAGCAATTTTCTACAAGGGTAATTGGAACTTTTTAGAAAATTTCAAAAATCGTTCGAATTATTCTCTAGGAATTAACAAGTCACTTGAACATTTTTGTACCCCATGTAAGTAAATTTCAGAAATTTGCTACCCATCCTCGGGGAGGGAAAGGGGAAAGGGGAGGGCCCCCACCTCGGTCCGCCACTGGAGCACATGTATTTTGTTCAGACAAGCAGATCTTTTTCAATATCAAGTACTCAGTGCTTTGTATAGATTATGCTTTTAGGATGGCAAAGTGAGGCCAGGCATAGCCTAAATCAAACTCATCAAGACAGAATCATAAGTAGCATGTTGCTAGAGGTTGACCTATAATAACAATAAAAACAAATAGAATATGAACACAAATTAAGATTTGGCGCCCGAGAGGTTGATCAAACCGATTGCCTTGAGTTGGGGGGGGGTCATTCGTAAGTCCAAGACTTTGTACAATGGAGTAATTCGACAAGCTATAGACGAACATCGTCACTCCCTGCGCAAATTAGAAATCGTACCTCAACTTTCCAAAACATGTTGAATGGTTTCTTTCTTGTGGCATGCATACTCCTCTAGTTCAAGTTCCAGCAAAACCTAAAAATCTAAAGATATTTCTATTATAATGTAAACCTAACGTAACTTTACAGGCTAAGAAAAAATCCGCAAAAAACTATTCATATGTAACTCAATCATCATCATCATGATTTTAGTAAAGAATGAATGTGCCACAATCAGAAAAACAAAAGTTGAGCAAAAAGTAGTGTAACTTTTGTTCCAAATTAATATACTGGGTTGCTTCGACAGTTCAACCCCTTATCAAGTTCAACTTTAATTTATCATAACTCTTCTGAGAAATATTCATTGCAAACTAATGAATTTTGATACAGTTCCAACCTTTGGCACTGTCATGCAAATTCAAAATCATTTAAGCAATTACGAGAAAAAATTCACTGCAAGAAGCTAAGCGCTTACTTGCAAGCACCTATTTTGCTACATAATTCAATCTGTGATGTAATAGGATAGTACAAACTATGCTCATTGTGTATTGTCGGCTAAGCGATATTAGCCTCGGATTCTGCTCAACTACTTCACAAAAATTTTCTGAAAAGAAAGACTCAATTCCCTCCCTCTGAGATGCAATAACGTGCATTTTTGACGACTTCGGTATTCGCTGCTGAAAATTTCAAAAGACAGTTTCATTTTTTCTAATATGGATTGTACTAGGTTCGGTCTTGCGGTTGCAATATAGAGCGAAAGTTTCATAGTCGCTTAGAACTTACAATTTCATGCGACTTATAAAGAATAGGAATAAGGAATAGGAAGGAATATAACGACGGGTCAAATTTACGCTAGAAATTTCTGATCTCAAAGGGTTTTTGGAGATTATATTCCAACTAGATTGCTTTCCAAATCCAGCCCGGATCTGCTGTTTACTGAAAATGAGGTAGATGCTATTCGTAGTGCGTGGTTACTGCACTGTCCTCTACTCCTTGTCGATCATTTAACTTCGGACAGTTTCACTTCGATTTCGTCGCATCCTTTGATCCCAGGACTGAACTGACCTTTAGCCCCGTTTACATGAGTAAGGAAAATGCTTGGTTAGAACATGATGAGCATTTATTCGCTTAGAAATATCTAAACAATCAGTAAATCAATAGAATACGGCGAATTTTCTTGAAAAGTAGTCCTATCCTTCTCCAGGGTACGAAGACATATGTGCAAAGTTTGAGCCCAATCGGCTTACGCACAAAGGATTCCCCTTCGGGGTGATCAGCATGCTCGATTACCCCCCTCTGCCAAATCCCAGCCCTCTAGCTCGAATTTTGCAAAAAATCAATAAAATCGATATCGATCGATAACGAAAAGTAGCCTATGACACGCTCCCTGCCCTGAAGTATATGTGTGCCAAGTTTGGTCCCGATCGGTTCAGAAATAAAAATTTGTATTCGGAACATACGTACACACATACATACAGACAGACATACAGACAGACATACAGACAGACAGACAAACAGACATTCAGCTTTATATATAAGATTTCAGTAACAACCCTTTCCCCAAGATTCGTCAAAAACACGACTACGCCATCAATAAAGTTCGAAAAACTGATGAAAAGTTGTGTAGTGGAATCAGCACGCTTGAAAACCTTTCTACACAAGTTTTCAGATTTTGAAATTATTTCATCGAAAGCCCTTAGAAAAACTGATGAAAAGTTGTGTAGTGGAATCAGCACGCCTGAAAATCTTGCTACACAAATTTTCGATTTTTTTGAAATTACTTCATCGAAAGGCCTATTCCACAGCGACGCTGTATGCTTTAAGTTCATAACGTAATCCTACCGTAATGAAGAGTGACTGGTGATTCGCTCTTTAGTGTAAATCTGCTGAACCTCGCTTTACAGAAAGGGACCCCAGGCTCGGCGAAATGCTTAAAAGTAAGAGAGTTTTTAGCGATCAAACAGTGTGTACATCTTTTTGGGACACTCCGTAGGTAGAGAGATAAGAGTCAGCACTTAATTTCCCAGCAAGCAACAAGTTCTAAAGAAACTCCGTCTTTTGTCTGTAGATGAGGGAATTTGTGTCAACGGAATGAATTTTTCTTGCTTTGTTATCCAATTAAAGTAAGCAGCGGAATAAACCTAACGTCAAGAAAATGGAAGAATCGATAGCATAGTCCTGTTTGATCCTCCGAGAACAGCAGTGCTTGAAAAGTATTGCTCCGAATTCTCGTTTTGAATGAAAGATGACAAGTCATTATGACCAGGACTATTCAATTATCCTTCACTGTCCTTTCAGGATGTCCGCTTCGAACTCAACTTGGTATCTGCTTCTGCTTTTGAGTCTACCTTCAGCTTGTTCTTCAAAAGTAAGCATTTCAAGCGAGATGAACGTTTGGCACGACAGTACCCACCAGCCAATCAGCATACTTTCTCCAATTGTCAGCACTTTGCGGACACGAAACCTGCTCTTTGTGATTTTGCTCAGGCAAAAAAGTCTATAAGGGTGTATTGTGTCGGTGTACGGAAATGCCCTATGAATCTTACTGTCTTGGTAATTGGCCCACATCTCATTTTATGATTTAAGGACTAAAAAACAATTCATGCTTAGTAAAAAACGCCCCAACGAATACTTCATACTTTTAGGGCAAACCCATTGATCTATTTAATCAAGAAGGAGGAGACATTCTTCAGCTAAGAACAAAAACGAGGTGAGTTGTTTTTGGAAGAAACTTTTGTAAATACTGTGCGTAAAAATTGCAATTCACACTTCGCAGCAATACCTTTGCTCTTGGTGGTCGTATGCACAATGCCTTGCTTCCAAGCTCACCAAAAAAGTGGAACTATCTTGAAGATGGCAGAGGAAATTACATTATTCCATATAAAATTGTGGGAAAGTACGGTAAGGTTTTTCCTATAATTCATTGCTCACGATCGCTTGAAAAATACATAAATTCTTTTTGAAGATGAACGGGAGAAAAGAGTGATTGAAAGTGCGATGGAAAGTATTCAAGATAACACTTGCATTCGTTTCAAGCAGAGAAACGATGAGCGAGATTATGTGGAGATACACAATGAGAACGAAGGGTAATTGGCGCCTCGTTATATTTGCTCGATCAGTAGAAAAATGAACAGCTTTATAGATGCTACACTTGGGTCGGACGTAGTGGCGGTAGAACAATTCTGATGCTACAGTCCAACTACGCAGGGACGTGAGTTTTGATTAAATATTTGGCAAGACAGCTTGGATAAAAACTTGCGAAGTACCTTTTTTGTTCTTCAGATGCATCGTAAAAGGTACTGTCATTCACGAACTATTCCATCTAATTGGTCTGTGGCATGAACAATCGCGGTATGACCGCGATGACTACATCAAGATTCATTTTGAAAATATCGCAAAAGGTGAATAATTACGTCAAATTTAAAAGTGATTCATATCGTTTCCAGGAGAATCATTGCAATTTCGGAAACTCAGCCGTACACAAGCAACTACCTACGATGTACCCTACGACTATGGATCCGTTATGCATTACGGAAAAAAATCATTTAGTGCGAACGGTAAAATCACTATAGAAACGCTGGATCCTAGATTCCAGGTACAGGAAATTTTGTGTATGCTTCCAGAACATGCGCACTGCTAGCATTCCGCACTTTTTCCGAAGAATTGTAGAGAAATCACGATTTTTTGCAAGGCCGTTTGTTGATTTCCTTGTTGTGATTTTCCGCAGATTGACTGCTGCTTTTTTGAACGCAAAAATATGAACCCAGGCACTTTGTAGGCAGCGTCCAAGCAAAATCTCGAACAAAATTTTTTTCGCTTACATGGACTTATCCCCGTTGATTTCGAAAATGCAGAGTAAGAGTACAAAAAAAATTAAAAAGGGCTATTCCCGAAGCGGCTGACGCATTTAGACGCCTGTCGCAGGAGAAACGGAAAGTCGTGGTTGGACCTGCGTCTCGTCGTCTACCGTAACTCTCCTCATTTCTAAAGCATTTTTCTCGCTTCCGGGGTGTAAAACTCAGTCAACCTATATGCCGATTCCGCTTATCCAAGCGACTGGCTGAGCAGATCTTTCATCTAACAATAATGAAAACAGCATAGAAAAATGCTAAATTAATTTGCTCCTCGTTGTATACAGCGTTGTTTGCTTGCACGCGAGTTGTAAATCAAGCCGCTTTTATGTGTTCAAAATTCGCCCTGTTGCTTCGAGGGAAATAGGCCGAAGGAGTCTGCATGGGACCCTTGATCGTGCACCCATAAAACCGTACAGTCTGTTTCATCTCGATGTAGGTACAAGCATTTTGCGCGTTCAATTGAGCTAAACTTCGTATGCTTGTGTACACATGCATAAAGATATGCGGTAAACGCCACATACGCCGCGCAGTCTGGCTCAACCCTGTGCTGAGGGCATTGCTAGCTACAACGTTGGCATTCTGCCAACGAGAGATTGAGGAGAATGAGGAGACACAGGCATGTGTTCTCAGTACGATCTGACATGCTGCAACCGCGAAACGGTGCAAACGTTGCGAGGCGGACGTGCGTCAATTTAATTTCCGCCTAAATTGTGTTCAAACTTAGAGTGAGCGACCGTTTTGAAAGCACATGCGCGATGCTCTTGCGTCTGTTCGCCTATCGTCATTGACAATCAAAAATAGGCTACCCTTCTTTTCATCTTTCACGCCATCCGCCCTTCGCAAAAGTGGCTAATCTTAACAACAATTTTAGGATGTAATTGGGCAACGTACAGGAGCATCCGCAAGCGACTTCCGCAAAGTTTGTGAAATTTACCGCTGTGGGAAATGTATGGGCAGAAACTTCAAACAAGAAACAAGTACTAAAAAACCTGTGGTTCAAACGCCAACGTCCCTACCTGGTGGAGGTGAGGATAGCTTATAAAATTTTCGTTTCATTTTGAGCCCAACTTTCAGCATGCATTGACCGTTGGGGTAACATATGCAAGATCTTGGCTTCAGTTCATCATCTCCGTTGTGAAATTAAACAATGGCAGTGTTGTGCCACATGTGCAGCGTTGAATGAAGGGAAAGATCTCTCGAAAATTTGAAACCAGTTAAAGTACCGTTTTTATTGTTCGAAAGTTCTCCTTGGAAGTGCACCTATAAAGCATTAAGACCTCTAATAGATTGTCTGATGTCCAACCCACAATTGTTCCCGTATCACAAGACAATATCATAAGATTTCCTTATGTGCCATATCTGTCACAGTCTTTCCTAAAAGTTCTTAACGAGGACTCTTTCTTTCAAAAAGTGAGAAGCTTTGGATTCTATGCCAAGGAAATAAGAACTTTTGGAAGGAACGCCTGCGTTGACCAAAAAAACTATGGCTTGCTTCATGAGGTGCTCAAAAAGATATATAAGAAAAAAGGTAGAATCGCGGTTGTGAGGAGAGTAAAGTACGTACCAGACGTGCCTGTGCAGTGATCTCCGCAAAAGTTGCCACCGCTGTTAAACCCACAGTCATTGTGAACTACGCGCAGGCACTGCGCTGTAAATAATGCTTTAGCTGGAAAAATTGCATGAGAAGTGCGTACTGAGATAAGATGGTTTTAGGCAGGTTAGAGGCTAAGAAAATAATCGACCCTTCAATTTGCAAGGCAAAACGTCCCGAGGAAGACCAGCGAGATGAGGTATAGGGCATTCGAAAAATCGTGACGATGGCGCGACCGCGCGCAACACGCACGCATTCCCATTTCTTGGTTTGTATCTCTACTCAAATAGTTCTTTTGCTTACATATGATAGTATTAGACATTTCAAATGACTGAGCTCAGCGTTGAGGTGTTGCCTGTTTGTATGAGTGTTTTATGCTTATGTGTGTGCAAAGTCCGCAGTAAACTCGTCGTCACAATTCTAAAAATGACCCATAGATGTATTTGTGGAACGATGAAACCTGTGAAATTAGCTGGATAGACTTTTGCACCTGGAACTCGCGGGCGCAGCCACGGATGATACCACGTGGATTATACCCAAAAATCGTTCATTGTAGAAGTGAGTGGCAAGCAGTGGCGTACCCAGGGTTTCGGCTCGGAAGGGGGGGAGGCGGCAAAAAATTTTTTTTCAAGAAAGGTGCGTGGCGTCAGCCACGCCCCGAAGAAGATTTTCATAAGGCTAATTTAAATTTTTAAAAAATTTAAAAAATTATTTTAATTGTTTACAAAAATAAACAAGTCACTTGCACATTTTTATAACTCATGTAAGTAACTTTCAAAAATTTCGCGACCCGTTCTCGGGGGGGGGGGCGCCCCCCCCTTGGTACGCCACTGGTGGCAAGGTATGGAATTCTTGCGCTGGGATTGGCACACAGTGCGAGACTGGCATCTGAAAGCATCCATTGATTCAACGGTAAGGTCACGGTCATTTTCTACCAGGTTATCATCAGGGATCCTCGTATAAAGTTGCTTTTCGGCTATTTTCCGCGCATCACGAATGTAGCAACCATTTTATCCATTAACATCTTGCAATGGGGCTACAGTAAAAATATGGTGAAATCTCAGCGAACATCAAAAAACTTCGAGAAGCCCTTGCTAGATTCCGCAACTATCATACCTCGATCAGCACCTTAAATAGTCTCGGTAATATGGGGTGAGAAGACAAATGCAAGAACTAAATATTCTAAGATATATTGAAATGGGTTAACATGTGTTCATTGTCCTCACCCTTCCCTGGGATGTGCCATTTGAGTTTCTACCAAATTCCCACCATTTTAAAACATTGGGCTTATATTTAAACCAAATCTTGTTCTTGATGCAGCTACTTGACATCCGTGGACAGGAGGCGCTCTCCCTCTCTTTCCCCCTCCCCCCCCCCGAATGGGTCGCAAAATTTTTGAAAGTCACTTATCTTATATATAAAGCTGAATGTCTATTTGTCTGTATGTCTGTACGTATGTTTCGAATATAAAATTCCATTTCTGAACCGATCCTGAACTTGGCACACATACACTAAGGGGCGGGACGGATGTCATAGGCTACTTTTTGTCATCGATCGATATCGATTTCATCGTTTATTATCGATTTTGTAAAGTCTAACCTGCGGGGCTGGAAATTGGCAGGGGTAATGGAGCATGTTGATCACTAACACAGCGGGAATAGGGAATTGTCATGTAGAAGTGGGCACTGTGAAAAGTTGTACAAAGATAGGGATGGGACCTTTACATAGTGTTTTGACATGGGTGGGCGGAGCCGTGTAAGCCAGCTGGTTTGGGTTATAAAATTGTGCAGGTGACTGACTATATGAATAATAAATGAACTTTTAACAAAGAAAAAGAATTAGTTTTGTAAAAAAAATTACTTAGTGGTAAGCGAAAACAGTGCCACTGGGTCGGATCGATATTCAAAAAAAACTGCTGAGTTCGCGAATCCACTATCTTAGTGAATACCGATCTCGTTTATCAGGCCTTTCTGGGCAGCCGAACTCACTGGTTTTGTTGATCAGTAGGCTACTGACTACGCCACTTCGACCACGCTAGTTGAAACTTTGTCCATGTATCTCCAAGCAAGTGCCAAAATTTAGATTCGTGAACTAGCAGAGCTAGAACCAAAAACATACGACGCTCAGAAATATGCTAAACGACGCAGCAGTAACCTGGTCATTTGTAGCGAAAACTGAGTGTGTTTGAGTATGAAGCAGTACTGAGTTATCTCAAATAGCAAATCTTTGGCTCGCTGCGTCGAAGGCGCTTACGCCAAAATTTCGTGGCGAATAAGAGCCATCACTACCTTAGCCTAATTGCTTAATACTTTGTTCAACTCTTGAGTCAAGCACGATTGACCCGGGTCGAGCTGACCGTTTGATGAAAAAGGTAGCGTGGGGATTGCACGAGGTTGGGCCGAGCTACGAAAAAAGCCACACGTAATTTTGTTTATTTATTTATGTATCTAGGTGCAACTAAAGTGCTCTAATAAAAAACATAGGAGCGGTTAATATCAAAAAACAAAACATTAACATAGCACCGCGTTTTGAGTATCTAAAAATGCACCAGTCATTAACATTGGTAAAAAGCTGAACAAAGAAGAGACAATAGAACAAGCACTCAACAGCGCATTGCCTTACAAAAATCTAAACTCTGCTTCATTATTTTGAAGGGCCAGCAAGCTTAGGCAGCCTCCAGACCGCGCCGGTTGCCGCGTTGCAGCCGAAGCGCGGTGCTAGGGGGATTTCGTCGATTGATGTGATATTTGCATGATTTTTGATCAATTTGCCGCTGTTCTTTCATTTTGAAGTCTCTCTTTCATGTTATAGGAAACATTCTCGTTGCAATGATTTAGTTGATGTGGTTCCCGTTTTTTTCCCAATCCACGGTGCTGTAATGGTCGAATCATTGTGAAAAGAAATATCCTTTTTATCTGCCACTCGCTGCAGAGTTGCTCCTTTAGGCGAGCGTGTGAGCGAAGTAGTGCCAACTGTAAAGACTCTTTGAGGTTTTCATTTTCAAGCTAATTTTAATCTCATCTGGTATGATAGGTGAGCGATACTGTTCAAGACGATGTTCTCTTGTCCTTTTTTGTCTTTGAACGTTCTTTCATTGCGCTGCAGGAGCGGCATCGAAAACAAAATATCAATGATCCGGAGCAGAGCTTTTTGATGCTTCCTATCTTAAAGGTCGCCTATGCTAGGTGGATGTTGCGAAACAGCATTTTTTTTTGCACTCTTCAATAGACGAGCCTCAAGACGAATAAAACTTCAAAATGACTCTGGAAAAAACGCTCACTTATCTTGGTCAAGTAGAACAACGCAAAAAGTACGTCGAAATCTCGATACACAACGATATCATTCACAAAGCACAGCAAAACAAGGAAGTACGAAAAACAGCGTTTCGTAAAGATATCACTTTCAGCACAAAATATCGTCAAAGCGAAGGCTAAACCGAAAAAAAGCACTGCTCATTGACTAACAGATTGCACGCCTTGCACACCGTCTAAACAACCTAGATTAGAAGATAGACCGCAATTATAAACTTGCTAACCACACAATGAAGCTTGTTTTGACAATGTGTGCGGTTTCTAGTCTCTTAATCACAAAATAGGTAATAGCTCAATCTAGGAAATAACATAGCTTCAAAACTTTCAAATGAAATCGAAAATGAAAATGAAAACTAGATAAAAAACTCCTTTCAGCACTATTTCACTCATTTCGGAAGTAACATAGCTCTATAGCATGGAACAGATCGAAACGAAGTACTTTTGACAATGATTCGACCACATTAGCATCGTAGAGTAGCGAAAAAACGGAAGCCACATCAAATAAACCATATCTGAAACGCGACTGTTTACTGCAACATATAAAAGAACCTCCATAACGAAAAATTAGCGGTAAAGGGATCAAAAAACTATGCAATTATCCATCAATGCGACCTCCCTAAGCGTCCCACTTACAAAATCTGACTGAGTGCTTCAGCTGCAAAAGTGGCAATCGGCGCGAAAGCGGCTACTGGCTGCAAAAGGGCCAACCAGCGCGGTCTGGAGGCTGACTTACGGGCGGAATAGCTGGCTATGACCTCAAAGAATGAAGTGGAACATTCTTGAAAGTACAATAAGAATAGAAGAAGAGGGAACTTGACAAAACATCTACTAGTGATCTTGTCACGGAGCGAAAGTGTACAGGAGGGGTATGCGATGGCGCCCAGTGAGAAGGCATAATTGTTCAATTGATGACTAAGTAAGCTACCGGCTTCAGAGACAAGAAGGAGAAGACGGCAATTTGTTGAGGATTGAGGTTGTTCGGTAGAGGAAGTTTTTATGTTGTAGCAAAATGTAGTGCTTTTCAATCCTAAAAATCGTCAAGTTTCAAGATGTTCTACGTTCATTGATAGGTCAAACCCACCTCAGCTCGCTATATTTTGAAGGCCATAAAAATATCAGCCAAAAATCTCCTGTAGAGAGTTTCGAGACCGAGCTTGCGCAATCTGGTTTTATGGTCAGGTAGGGCAAGAGTGTAGTCAGGGTTTGGTAATGCGCGATAAACACAACCTTTGTAAAATCTCTTTCAATCTTCTGAATTTTTTCGATGTCATTTTTCGAAGTTGGGTTCCAAACAATTTTAACGGTTCCAAATTTTGCGTGAGACGCAAAGAAGTAGAGAGAACTATTCTCAATCCCAATCAGGCTAAAAGTGGAGCTGGACGTGTCGCAAGATTTTGCGCTATTTCTGCGGCTGGATCTGCATTCCCCACAATCCCCTCGCTTTCTTCCGCAGTGCGCATATGCAGCGCAAAACCTTAGCGCTGCGAGCGTGCAAACTGGAGAATATCGTTTATCCGATAGGAAGCTTGTGGGTGCCATAAACACGAAAATGGAGTTCAAACCTTTATTTCTAGTTGAGAAATCTTTGAACGAAAGGGGTTTCTTTCTCAATGCCCAAAACAGCTGTTGTTAAGCTCTACTTTGCTCCTCTCTTGTAGGCTGTGTACCATTTGATTCAACTGGATTGGCGACTAGGAGGCAGGCTATCGTGACCTAGTTAAGGCTAGGGAATGATCAGAGAGCGCGCGTGAGGGGACGCAGACTGTGTCGCGGGCGCGAGCGGCCTTAATTAAACCACAAAGCCCCGCCTTCCAGCCGTCAATCCAGTTGACTCAAAGGTTATTTGTCTACGCTAATAAACCTATCCGCTAATTATTTGGGTTGGTAGTAATCTGGTCGAAACTCCAAGTTTAAAGCTTCGCGTTAACTCAGAAATAGATAACTCCGAGTTCCTCTTTTGAAACTCAGAGTTATGCTTATTGAAATTCTGAGTTCCGCTTTCAAAGTTCCGGGTTCCAACTCTCAAGCTCGGAGTTTTGCTGTTTGAGGAGCGTTTACACACTTTGCTGCAAAAGCGACGTTGAAGTTGGGACTCGAACCTCCACGGTCTAGCGCAAAGATCCTGTCACAAACCGATAGCCATGACACACCCTTGTAGCTTAGAGGCAGCGTCCAGGCAGATCCGAGCTCGACGACCACGCCCACTTCCCTCGGACGGCCAACCCAATATGAACGAAATCTCCTCAACCTTGACGTGTTTTCACATGACCAACACAGTCGAACTTACAGCGTTTACCTGTCAATACTTGCTTTCGACAAGGATAACATCAGAAGCACTCGTCCGGGTTTTCCCAAAATAGCCCCAAAAGGTGGTTTTCTGAGAACACGCTTTTTGAGTTCCATATTCGGAATTAGCGCCATGGAAAGGCGTGGATAACATAAAAATATAGGAGTCGAGAATTTGCCTGGACTGGTGCCCTTTAAAGGCAGTGTCTCACCAAAATTTGGGCCGAGATTTTTGCATTTTGTAAGGCTGTCGGACACTATCTAGCAGTGTATGGGCTTCAAATCGCAAGAAGTTCCCAAAAACCCAGTTTTCTAGAGGCCCCGCAAAAGCAACGTGGACGAGTTATACATTCCAACTTCAGCCTCAGCCACAGTGGTAGCAACAAAGGGAAGGTGGATGCCAAGTGGAGGGACATGTCCAAGCGCGTAAGGGGGGAGACCGAAAGAGTCGTCCGCGAGTATCACATCGCTCTCCGCTTACCACTTTGAGCGAATTTTTCTCAGCGTGGAGGGGGTCAAATTGAGTGGGACTTGTTGCAGTGGCCTATTTAAAGGTCCCTAAAACAGAATATGTGAAAATCCGCGCAACCACAACTTTGGTGAGACACTGCCTTCAAAGTTGCTTTGCCATGATGTACTATGCATAAACAGTAGCATGTCAAAACAAGTTATATCGAAGCCTCACTTATTTTCATTTCTATCGAGAAGTGGTAGTTTATCGCACGGATTGGTCTTTTGCGCAGCTGAAAGTTGAAAACGATAGTGAGAGCGGAAGGCATACGCAATGATAGGAATGGGCTATTAGGATTTGCTCTGAATTTCGACAGGTTTACTACCGACCTTGAAGTCCGCAGATCAGGAACAATATATGCTCAAGATGTTGAGGATCCTCAACTCCTGCACTTTGAATTTTGCATGTTGTCAGCAACGTACAGGTGATTTAACGGTATGGCCCAAATTTGAATTTATAATTGCATGAATCACTCTTTGATTATTACGTAGTACTTGAATTCTTCCCATTTCCTAGTGGCCGCTTCCCGTATATTTTTTAAGTCACAAAAACATGCAAAAATCATTCAGAATCAAAGGGTGAATCCTAATTTTTTTCGTAATGCTATGTATAGCAAAGCTTTCTAATGCTCGTTTGCAAAGTCTTTGTTTCTCGAAAACGATTTCTTGCTGGAATCATTCTCAAGATGCAAATCAAAGATTAATGTTTTGTCGTCAAACTTGGTCATTATTTGAATCAGTTGGTAAATTTTCTCACAACTTTAAGCTGAAATTGCTTAGAATTCAAAGAGCCAAGACTTGAAGCAGATGAAATAAATGCAAAAATGATTGCCCTCTAAAAAATCAGAACATGAGAGAGTGAACAGTTGGTCTATTGGTTTTGTTGTACTTTCCGGTTTTTTACGTTATTAGCCATATCATGCGGCAGATTATGATGTAACAGGGTAAGATTGAACCAACAAGGGTCGTGATTGAACTGTAGTATACATTAGAAAAAAACCCAGTAGTATTGTTCTGTTTAAATAAATTTTAAATAATAATATAACGCCGAATCACTTCCAACACAATCAATTAATCTCCATTTCTGATCTTTCATTTCCGAGGAACTGAAATATCACTGGTGTGGGCAGATTGCCCCAATTTTTCTCTACACAATCATATATTGCTATTTTGTTCACTCTATTTGTTCTGAGCGTATCGACTTTTCCTAAACTGATTTAACTCGGTGCAAATTATTTTGTTCCAAAAAATTGCCATTTATTGAAGTTTTCTCTGCAAGCTTTGCTGGAATCAGCAACGGCAACTTTAGGAAAATTCAGAATTTTCTTTCCCAGAGCCCTCGAAGAAATCGGAAAACAAAGAATTATGGAAAAGTTATCGTTGAATATACTTTTTATATACTTTTTTTTAAAATTTGTACCCAAAATAGCCAATGCGCATCGCAATTTCACTCTTCTGATGCGCAAAGATCTTCTAATCTCCAAAACAGCTGGGTATAAATGCTATCAATAAATTACAAAAGAAATATGAAAAAGAAGCGAAAAATAGAATCAGTTGATTTCTATCGAAAGAGAGGACCAAGGGGGCAGCTAGCCTCGGTTTTCAACATCGCACAAAATATAAAATCAAAAACGAAAATTTTTCAAAATGTTAGTGTTCCAGCCTGATAATAGTGAACGAGAGTTTTTTGGCATACACAAAATGCTGTCTCCTCTAGCTATTTCTTACAAAATTTTTTTCTGCTCAATATCATTGACAGAGCGAAAATTTTTTTCTTCTTCACTTCACATCGCCCGGATGCATACGCACACACATGCATTGTGTGAAAGTCATATCACATTGGCACTTTTTCTCGGGCCCATTCTGTTTTCGGTTTATTTCTCAATAGCTGTGCTCGTCTGTTCAAATACGGGTGCAGCTGGCCGACGCATCGTTGCATTCCTTTGAGCTTCAGCACTTCCTTCCGGCTTCTGGGCTCTGAGGTGAATCAGGTGGGAATTTTGAGAGGAAATGTGAATTTTGCAAAATTCTGCAGCTTGTGTATCCACTTTTCTGGGTTTGCCAATTTTCACTTTTTGAACTATGATAAAAGTTCGATTATGAAAGGACAGATATATGCAGCTATATCCACAACAAATCATCTGATAGAATTCATCATTGTGACTCATCAACTCTCATTTGCAAATCACACCCACGGCGCAGTCACTGCATCTGCTATCGTCAAATATCCCTCTAGCTCAATTAGAATAATTTAGCTACAGTAACCTCAAAGCAATCTTTTCAAATCTGCACCAAAATCGCCTAAATTGATTGCTGTAACCTGATCCAACAATAAAGTTTTCACTAGTAGAAAATCAATCGGCTGAACATCAGCATATCCAACCATTACCACTGCGACCAAACACACTGCATATAGAGACGACGGGGGGGGGGGGGAGGGCTAAATTCTGTCACTATGACTAATCGTTCCACACAACACCCCACTCCTGCATATTTTACATTTTAATGAAAGTGTTCATAGATTTATCATAGTTTATGTGTTCTCACCTACGTCTTTAGAGTTTATTTCGTGTGGGAAGTGACTAGAAACATCTGATGGCTTAAATAGTGCTACTTTTCCGAATTTTTCATTGTTAGTGATCTCCTCAGCGTTTACGGATTCCTTCTCTCTAACGATCTCACAAAATTCTTATTTTCTAGTAATAAACAATTATGATGAAAGGTTGTCTTTTGCTAGAGCAACTTAGAAGGTGAGTTTATGTTACGACTAAGTGCTGATAAGTCCTCCTACTCTATACCTTTCTGCTGAGAATTACTTCTTGTGTAGTTAAATCATGAAGTTTTCTTTCTAATCGATTATTGATTAACTCTAGAATGGATGCACTACGTTGCTTGATTCTGCTTCTAGTCGCAGTCCAGATGGTTTCCTCAAGGGTAAGCAATTTTTTAAAATAAGACTCTGAGGTTGTAGCAACGATGCAAACATTCGAATAATGAAAAATGGAAAATGAAAAAGTCGCTCATTTTTTAAAATCATTTGGCTTTTTCATGACTTTTTATTCAATCATTTCTTTCATTGACAAAGATTTACTTAATGACTCATAGAAAAATGATGAAAAACACTTTTTGAAATTTTCATCTTCATTGAATGCATTTAGGCTTACCGGCAACTTTCAAATAAACGGCTTGTAAAAAAAATGAAGCAGAGCACTTTTCTCAAGCCTTTTTCATATTTAATTCAGGCCAGAAGCTCATTAGCATCCTAAAATTCAGCTGCTCAATGAAGTGCAATCATTTTGCCCATTTTTTTACATATTTTTATCCATTTTACTGTTCATTAGCATCCTATGACTCAAGGAAAGATGACGAGATAACACCGATTATTCCATCAATTCATATTTTTTGATTTTTTATTCTTTTTATACGCTCACTGATGGTGTATTCTAAAAGTTTGAGGACACAACTCAGATTCGAGCAGATCAGCAAGATGAAAAAGATAAAGGAAAGATATAGATATGGAAAACATTTTTTTTGTAAAATGTGTGATCATGAATTCATTGAAATCAAGAATTCTTTACTCTTGTTTTGTCTTTCTTGCTTTACTAAAAGTTTCCTTTTCTTTAGGGCCGACCAATTAACATCTTTTCACAGAAAAGCGGAGGAGACATTCTTCAGCTCAGAGATACGGGGTAAATTTTTTAAAAATTTTATCACTTTTATCTATTACAATAAGTTTTTCACTTGTATACGTTAACGAAACGTGTTTACAAACGATTTCCGTATGAGAGAACTATGCTTCTGTTGTCATAAATTGACATTTAAGCCGCCATATGAGCGATTCAATCCATTGTATGTCGGCTGCAAACAATGTTCCATATAAGTGAAGCAAAAAAGCTTGTCACCTGCTGAGTAGAGCATTTTCAATCAGCGATAGCAGCAAAATATCGCGAAAATCGATTTTTGCTGATTTTGGCATGATTTGCTCGGAAACTGAGGGATATTTGAAGGCTAAAATCAGCCTCATATCCAAACCCCGACTAGCCTAATTTACTGTTCCTGAAGTTTGAACCCAACCAAAAATTGCATCTCTATTTGTTCATAAGCGAATTGCTCCCGTTGCAAATCCACCCAACATGACGTTCATATCCGGATTTATTGACTATGTTCATATTGAGTGATTCATCCTCGGGTAGTTAGTTCATAGTTGTCAACAAGTTTTGTCATTCGTTTAGTGCAAAATTAGTTGAAAAATTCGATCTCATGCGAGAGAAGATACATCACAATCACTTTGTGAATAAGCTGAATTTAGTGATATGAGGGCTAATCTGTAGAATTTCAAAAATAGTATGTGGTACTGTCAGGATGATACACAATTTTGCAGCAAGAAATGCGAAAATTTCTTCAAAATCGTTTCAAAGTCTTGCTGAATTTTATGACGTATTTATTATGACCCATGAAAATGTTGTATTCTACCTTTGATCTAGAGATTCTGATTGAATTAATTAATCGAATAAAGAAATTCGAAAATCAAAACCGTTCGTAGAAGCAACTGCTCAGCACATTTCTTTCTAAATGAAAGAAGCTATTTATCAATTCGAGACCAAAATCAAAATTAAACTGCACTGCCTTTTTAGCAATTTTAACCATCAAAATCATCAAAATCAAAAAAATTACTATCTAAAAGTTTCAGTAATTTTATACCTGCCACATCAAAAACAAATATGATTCAGGAAAATCTCAAAACTTCCCCTCTATTACATATATATCAGATTAGGCGAGATTTTGGAGAAGATTTTGAATTTAAACTGCAAGACCTATGCATCATCCAGTTAATATTTTGCGAAAGTGCAGACTTAATCAGCTTAATTGATGCTTTAGCAGTGCCACTGAAGAATCTTTTTTTGAATTTTTCACATCAGGACCAATTAATTTTGAACCTGCAAAACACTGCGCATCCTAAAAATAATCATTTCAGCAAGATGTTCAATGCTCTACACCGTGATTCCGATTTGAAATGGAATATTCAAGATGGAGATGGAAATTACGTAATCCCATACAGAATCACTGGAAGATACCGTAATCTTTTGCAGCTAAACTAGATTTTCTTGCCCTCGAAATGAATAATGAATATTGAAGAATCGTCGGAACTGCAGACAATTACCAGAGCAATGAAACGTATTGAAGCAAACACGTGCATTCGTTTTAGGACAAGAAAAAATGAGAGAGATTACATTGAGATTCAAAATCAACGCGGTCAAGGGTGAGCTACGCATTTTGTTGACTTTTTATGAATTTTATCAATTTAAAAAATTTTGCAGTTGTTACACGAGTGTTGGACGTCCAGGTGGCAAAAGCGTTTTGATGCTTGAGGCGGGCTATGAGGAAACGTAAGCTTCTGACATCCACTATGGTAAAAATATACTCATTCAAAAGTAAAAATTAGAAAACCCTTATGTACAGGGATTACAAAATTATATACAGACTTTTCTATAGTTGATATCTCTCTTACCATGAAGTCTTTTGCTTAGCTTTAGATGTAGATTTACGGTATAAAAAATGCACCAATTGATCATGATTGCTATAAAATCACGATAGAGACTTCAAACAGCTTTGAAATTTACCGTTTAAAGAGGAGTTATAAAAAATTTACGAAGTTATGTAGCAGTGTCTTCAAACATGCTAATTGGTTAGAAAGGTTTTTGTTGATTTTTGGAAATTCGAAATATTCTCAGTCACATTTTTGAAAAACGCTGGAAAGAATTGTTCCGTTTTACCTGCCATAACTTATGAAGAAAACTTCATGGTAAATGCGAATATTGTATACAAAATTAGCGACTTTGTTAACCTACTGATATTTTCAGCTTGTTTAGTTATTTGGTGCAAGATGTGGCCATTGATGACACAAAACCTTTCTTGAAGTTTCTGCGCTAATCTTGCGGTAACGGAGAGAAACTGTTCATTTGCTTTATGCTGTAATTTTGGAAGTCTATACAACTAAATATACTTAAAACTAAGAAAGAGACTCTGTGGAAGGGAGAGGTAGCCTAAATTAACGTGAAAACCCATTATGTACCTGGGCTCGGCACGAAGTGGCTTTTCGAAAATGCAAAAAACGAAGTCCCTCTTGTCTTTCCCAAAGTTTTATGAAGTCCCCCTTGCCATTCCCAAAGTTCTTCGAAATCTCTTTGACCCTAAACCTATAAACGTAGAAAAACACTCAAAAAACGAAACGTCGACTGAAAAAAAATGTCGCGCAACAAAAACGATATCCCTTTTACTTTTTTGCCCCAAAAACGATATCCAACTTGCTTATAAGAGACCTGTTCCGAGTCCTGCTCATTACTCAGTATGGCATTCTGAAAGACATCATGACAAAGAAAAAGGTATGCTCAAGCTCAAATGCTAACACTATTTTGAAACTCTTGTATTTTTGGCAGAACAATCTTCCAATATCGCACTTACCGTGATCATCTTTGTGTTGCGTTCGCTTTTTACCGCAAAACTTTACCTCATCACATTCAGCTAGGTTGGTAGGCTATGATAGAGACAGAAGACATGGTTTGAAAAAAAAAACAAATTTTCCTAGCTGGAACAATATTTTTTTCAAATTCACAACGATGCTAACAATAAGACAGCTTTGAAAAACTCCCTTTCTCAAAGCCGCCATCAATTATGTTTACTTTTTTGTTGTTATAGAAAGTAGGCGTGGTGTTGTTTGAAAAGAACTATATCCATCCTTGAATGGAAAAGGAATTTCCCGAAAAAAAATTTTTACAAGGCTAATTTGAATTTTCAAAAAGTTTCAAAAATTGTTTTAATTGTTTACAAGAATAAACAAGTCACCTGCACATTTTTTAAACCCGTGTAAGTGAATTTCAAAAGCAGTTCCATTCTGCGACTCAGAGGCATCATAAGAGCCGCGCGGTGTGGACACAGCGCTTACCTGTGTTTTTGCGAATTATCCATCAGTTTCGATTTTCCTGTAAAGAAATTGCTCAAGCAAATTACTATTTTTGAGAACAAAGTAGGTTTTTTTCAGATGCATGGAAACTGAAATAGTGCTCCATGAGTTGCTACATGTGGTTGGACTATGGCACGAGCATATGCGCTATGATCGTGACAAATATATCAAAGTCCACTATGAGAACATCGATAGGGGTAATTTTTTTTAGAATTATCCGTTAGCCCTTATAGTGGTGGCTTATTAATAATTTCCAGGATACTGGAGCCAGTTCGAAAAAGTATCGCCCTATGAAGCAACCACATTCAATGTGCCATATGACTACAAATCGGTTATGCACTATGACAAAAATTCTTTTGCCAAACCTGGAAAAATCAGCATGGAAACGCTGGACCGCAGATATCAAGTGGGTAGAACGATATGCTTTTTTTGGAATTGACTGATCCGCAACCTGTAGGATGTAATCGGTAATGCTAAAGACGCCAGTCCGAATGACTATCGCAAGGTTTGCGAGATTTACGGGTGTAGTCAATGTATGAGCAACAGCATACCTACCGAAAGCCCCGTGGTGACATTTAAGCCAACATTACCGCCCAGAGGAAGTAAGAATATAATTCTATGGTTACAGCCTTATAATCTGATACTCTTATTTCTAGGATGCATCGATGTCAATCCTCAATTCTGTCGTACAATCGCCAGACTTCGAGTGATTGACTGCATGTTCCATTCGAAATACTGTTGTGCCACATGTGCATCATTAGGTTATAACAGAAGACAAACACCATGGGATTCGTTCTATCGGCTATTTGATTTTTGGAATCGTTTCTAAGTTATGGTCTAATAATGAGCATAAAATAAATTATTGCCCTTTCTCCGTTTTGTAGACACAGGCACAATGTTAAAGTTTTTATATCAAATCAGTCGAATACTTCCGTTTTCTGAGGCTATACTTCTGCTACCATAATCCACGAGGGTAGTAAAAAATTGACATTGTTATTGTTTGAATTCTCATAGAGAGGGACTTCTTACTCTTTGATACAACTGGATATGCGGCTGGAAGGCGGGGCTTCGTGGCTAGTTAAGGCTAGGGAATGATCAAAGAGAGCGAGCGCGAGAGAGACGCAGACTGCGCTGCAGGCGCGAGCAGCCTTGATTAGGTCACAAAGTCCGCTTTGCAGACGCCAATCCGGTTGAATCAAAGGTTACATCTGTTCCCACCCAAAAATCAAGCATTCGTTTGTAATCAAAACGACCTTATCTACTAGGTCGTTTCATAGGTTCATAGCGTCTTTATAAAACATCAGAAATCATCTTTTTTAGTAAAAATCAGTCACTAAAATATTCCTCGACGTAGCGAAGACCTTTCGTCACATTCCTGTTAGTTTTTCAATCTCAATTTTTCAAATGGCGGCGCGCTGGGTGTCGAAAAAGTCATCTAACCAGCGCTCAAATTACTCCAAGAAATTGAGACATGCACCATTTATAAGGTTTGCGAAAGAGTAGAACAAATGATAATGTGATAGAGCAAGGTTTGAGGAGTAGTTTGAATACTGGAGTGCCTTCCAGTATTCTAACTACTCCCTAGTCTTGCGAAATAGCATTGACGACTTTTGCCGTATGGGGTCCGTTTTGTCGTGCAGAAAAACTCATTGGATCTGCCTATAAGGCCATAATTGTGGTATAGACGGTGATGTTGCACTGCATACGGTACGGTGAACAGTCTCCTTCTTGTACAGCAATTTTCAGCGTAGGATCTCCTGCCCATCTCTTAAAAAATCTTGTTCAGAGCCACACTGCTTAACTCTTGGTCAAAGCAAGCTAATCCTTTTTGCCTTAGATTGACGAGCGAACGCCATTTTCCATAATGGCTAACAAACTGCGCAAAAAAGCTGGCTTTGTCCAAAGTTATCAGGGCCCGTAGTAATCTACCCTACCTGCCGGCAGGTCTTGCCCTCAACTCGCCGCGATCTCGCCCTCAGGTCATGAAAACTGCCAACGCCCTCTCTAGCTTCCCCAAAGCAATCAGCTTGGCGCTCTCCAGGACTGACGGTCCAGCATAGAGGTGGGCACCAGATGGAGATCGAAAAAAATCGATGTCGAAAATGCATCTTTTTGCCTTTTGAGATTTCTGTCTGTGGAAGCTGAAATATTGGAGTAGATAAGCTTTCCATCGAAATCAAGTAATATGATTCAATTAGCATGATCAGCTCTTTCCAATGATATACACAGTTTGCCGCAAATCAGCTTCCCAAAAAACTGAGGACGAAAATGAAAACGCTTTGAACTTATGGAATGACTTAATATTAGGCTGTCTCAAAAGTAAACCCCTCTCTAGATAAATCAAAATGCATTTGTTTTTCAAGCAGACTTACGGCACTGATAAACTAAAGCAAGCTCTACAAAATGATCATCAATCCAGTCAAGTTGCAATCCAGTTAGGTTTGGAGCCAAAACTGACAAAAGCTTTTCAGAAAAATCAATTTTCAAAAAATCTTACGAGGCCCCAACAGTTCTCATACGGAAGATACATATCAATACACATAAATGCATTTGCTTATTTCTTCGCGCATAGAAATCGAGAAAAAAAGTAAATCCAAAACTCACAAGGGAATGGTCAGAAGTCGAAGTGGCCAATTCCTACAAGCTGCATACCATTCGATGCAGCATAAAATGCTGATTTCAAATCTATCCTCCTTATCTGCAGATCGCCTTTGTAGGCGAAGTTATGGGCAGCTTTACTGCGAAAAAACCGTATACAAAAATTGCGAAATTAGGCACATTATTGCTTTTTCAGCTCACCTCTAATTACGGGTCATATGAATTGACCTAACTGCATGTTTTGGTCCAACACTGAGCCGAGAATGGCTTTGTACCGCCAAGTTTGCCCTTTACACGCACAATTTCTTAGCAAAATAACGGCCTTCAACGGCTTATAATTTCGTCCACAAAAGCGTTCTGCAGATAAGGAAGACAGATTTAGAGTCAGCGTTTTAAGCTGCACCTAACGGTATGCAGCTTGTGTGGATTGGCCACTTCGACTTCTGACCATTTCCTTGTCAGCCTCCATTTCCTCTCACATATGCGATTGTACACTGCAAGCCCTAGTAAGTATTATTTCAAGGTTATATTCATGTATGTGCTCATGATCGAGACAATACCAAATTTTACATTTAAAAAAACCGAAAAAGTGGCTTTTTGCATTTACGTACTATTCCTGTACCTTGATTTCACCGCGGAGAAAGACTAGGAATGTATTTGTGAATACTACTAGATGCCTATATTTACTGTATGATGACCAAGCTGGAGGTTCTAGGAATTTTCTAAAGATATGTGATTTTTAAGGTTGTTGAAAAATTTTAATTTCATTATGTAGAGTGTTTGCTTCAAATTCCAAATGAGGGGCATGGCTTAGGCCAAACCCAAGCGCAATCTTATAAGCGTATGACTTATGTAGGACATTCAAAAGTTTTGAGAACCATCTTCGAGGAGGGAAGTGATGGGAAGCCTTTTTGGCGGGGGCGGGCGTTAGGTATCTACGCAGCCATTAGTGGCGTACACTAAACCATGCTGCTTGGTTAGGAAATCAAAGAATGGCGCGAATGAAAGCGTAAGTTTGTACATAAAGTTTTTCCACTGCTTTTTTTCCACAACTTTAGAATCAGATTTTAAATAAAACTTAAATTCCACTTGCATGTTGAAAGTTTAAGAAAGGCTAGATCTTTGATTAGCATTTAACATAGTTTTGCAGAAAGAAATTGTGATAATCTGATCGAAAAGATAATGACAGCGGAAAAAGTGAAAAAAATGAAAATTTAGCATCAAAGAGCTGTATCCCATAATTAGGATGTGATTGTATGCCGTCGTTAGAGTGAAACAGAAAAAAGAAAACTATTGAGAGTGACCACTGCCAACTTTCATTTTTCGGAGAGTTACAAAAAAATTCACCGTTCGTTTAGACTGAATATCATATTTTGGTTGCGAGAAAGGTGCATGATATCAAATCATCGCAGTATGACCCCAAAACCTTTAACTTTTCGCCCTGCCTCTGGAAAACTTTTTATCACCACAGACGAGCATATAAAGAATTTATCAAAGCAGTTTTCAGAGACATGTATGCGAACGTACTAATTGGTTCTTTAAGTATTTTACATTAATCCATTGGAGGTGAAATGAAAATTGTAGCAAGTCAATGCCCCACCAGTCTCGTGACTGAGTGGGCTTTTACCTTCTCTGCTCTTAGTTTGATGTATAACTTGTTGTGTACCTACCCGAAGCAAAAGATGCTTTGACTGTAACAAGCTATTTAAACAAGCACTAAGAGCATGGTCATTTTTACCATGTCGTTAGATCCTGCTACCTCGAGAATTCTCCTCTTTGCACTCCACTCTTCGGTTTGATTCCTGTTGTGCTTGTTTCGGCTACTTCGTAATAGCCGTTGATCGTGATTCCCACTGTTGCGCCCTCGTCTCCTCAAAGGCAGCCTCCCACCAGACTGGGAGTACCTGGCTCTCGTAATGATGTAATAGTAGACCCCCTACCTAAGCGATGACTGAAGTTCGGAGCGAAAAAGGGGTTCTACCAAGCCTGAAATTTGCTCCGAAAGTGGGCCGAATCTTACGGTAGGCTCGAGCGAGTGCGAGGTGTATGCAAGGTAGAGACGCAGAGTTGTTGCGGGTCCCTGCGCTCATGATGTGTGCGCTATACGCACTCTGGCCCTGCAAATCGATATTGCCGTGTGGGCGGCGTTCGGCCCTACCGTAAGATTCGGCCCACTTTCGGAGCAAATTTCAGGCTTGGTAGACCCCCTTTTTCGCTCCGAACTTCAGTCATCGCTTAGGTAGGGGGTCTACTATAACATCATTACGAGAGCCGGATACCCCCAGTGTGGTGGGACTGCCTTTAAGCACACGTCTTTGAGATCATTCTGTTCGTACAGGGAAGCATAGGTAAACTTATTGACAAGTAAACAAATAAGCAGCTGAAGAGAGAGGAGACAAACTCGAGTGAACTACATTGGCTAAAATAGAGCCCCTTATATACAATACCGCTCACATTTTTTGAAAAATAGACAGAATGTATGGACATGTATGGACATGTACGGAAATGTCCATACATGTATGGACATGTCCATACATCAGCGTCGCGTGGCCATATCTCGCTTCAGAATGGACGAATTCTTAATCCGCCACAATTCGATTCAGCTCGGCGCGAAGAATCTTCTGATATATTGGAAGTGGGGGTACGATGTCTACGATATTCCGTTTCCTGTTTTTTTAATTTGTTCTGCGGAGGTCCTTTCGCGAATATGGGAAGCAACGCCTACCCAACATAGAAAACTTTACTAAGTACTATTCGATAATACTGTTCTTTTAGATTATTGTGCGCTAGAAAATAGGCTCAGAATTCTTCCCAAAGGAGACAGAAGCGTTGGTGAATTTTGGAAAAATCACGCGTTCTTAAATTCTACTCGCCATAACTTCCTTCGGAATAAGTATATTTTGAATCCGAAAACAGCGCCTTGCTCAGCTCATCAAGGCGAATCTTCGCATATACAGCATGTCCTTGATATTTCGATTTCAGTATTCTTGAATCTTTCTGAGGACGTCTTTTCGCGAAGGTGTAAAGCAACGAGCATTATCCCGAGCAAATTCCAGCAAGGATTTTTCAATAGCACTTTTTCTGTAGATTATGATGTGCTGAATAATAGCCGCAGGTTTCTTTTGCAAAGGAAATAGAACGGCTGGTAAATTGTGGAAAAATCTTGTCGTCCCAAATTCTACTCGCCATATCCGCAGGATACGAAGCTATCTTGCTAAGCAGATGTGAGTTTCGAAATCAGCAGGTTACATAACCTCTACGAGCAAGTTTTCTTATGTTCGGGTTATTCCATTTTTTCTCGTTTTACGCTCCGGAAGCTCGCCGATGGATTTTGGTCAAAATGTTGATGCTCCTGAACTGTAAGGAAACTTCGCTTATAGAGGTTTTCGAACACGCTCTTTACGAAAATCGTGGTCTTTGAGGATTATAGGATCTTTTTGGAGAGATACGGTGAGGTAACTGTAACTTCATCACGAAAGTGCGTAATTTTGGCCGCACTTCTCGCGTATCTGTCAGAAACCTTGCCTGCTTGCTTTTATCATTCAAAGTTACTAGGAACTGTGCTATGGAATGGTGCATTAGTCAGGCTCCAGTCTGTGAAATTCGCCGAGTTACGAGCCTACGAAAACACGTCCTCATGAATTTTGCCCAGAATGTAAAGATCGCATATCTCGTCGAAATTCCTCCCTGAGCGCTTGTATGACGCTCATTCAATGGATTGGAACGACTAAAATCTATTCCGATAAGGCAAACCTTACTCTACAAAACCTATGAAGTCGCAACATTATAAAACTTCACATTCAAGGTTTATATGAGTTTAACTGTCAACTGTCACTAAATAAGCTAAAATGGTGTAATTTTTTAGAATTCTGGTTTTCGGCGACCATCTCTCGAATCGACTTGATTCTTTCACTATGTATTGGAGGTCACTTACTTTTGAAAAACTATGAAGTCGCAATTGCTGACATCTTCAAATACCAGATCTATAACAGTAGAACTTTCTCATGATTTTTCCCTATTTTTTCTAATACAAAATTCTGGTTATCGGCGGTTTCTGAATCGACCTATTTTTCTGTACTTCATAGCAAAATTTACTTGATATTTGTACAGTTTTGCTGAGTTTTACTTCCAAATGCACATTTGATAAGCACGTTTATTTCAGATATTCATACCGCTGTATACATAAAAGTATGCCTTCAATGATCTCTTTTGCATTTTGCTTATTTTCCGCGCACTGGCAGCAACGACCTGGAAGGGATAGGCTCAGTCGACTTGGGAGAATCGCAAAGCCATGAAATCGCGTGATGTATGCCAGGCCCTTGAGATAATCTGCAATCGCATAGTCTATGCATCCTCAGTGTAGGCGGGAAATGAGCGCTATATATGCTTAAGAGCCTGTGCAGCATGGGACGCGGCATGCAACCAATGAAATGGAAAACATAAACGGTTAAGGACTCACACAGTAGCAGAAACTGTGGTCGCAACAAAAGTTAGCGCCAATTTTTGTCTGTCACTGTCTTTCTTGTGCTGGGAAAAGATAGAAAGCTTTATTGAGTCTCATGTAAAACAAAGTTTTCTCGAGAAGAAACAAATTATGCGATGTCACATCACATTTAACAGCGGGATGAGTGTGGTAAGTTGCGTTTACGAGCTTCTCTTCAGTGCCTGTAGTAACCCTATGATATGAAACCATAAACTAACACCAAAGGGAACTTACCTCAATTTTTCAGACACCACGCATAGGGTTTTTCAAACGCATCTCTTCGTACCTGCCAAAAAAACTTTCTAAAGGAAGCTTGTGCTTGTAGCTAAACTCACCGAAAGCGAATTGATATTGGTTCAAACAGAAGCATTTCGAAAATGAGGAAAGTTAAACCAAATTGTCAAATCCATTACGTTCTTTATCTTGCAATCTCATTTATGTTAGATATAAATCTTAGTGTCTGATTGTCTACCCTGGTTTGTATATTCGTGTGCTTCGAATAAAACCTTTCAGAAACAATCAGGACCAAACCTTGCACGCAACCTCGGGGGGGGGGGGGGAGGATGGGGGAGGGGAGAGGGGGGAGTGGCGGATGTAATTACTTATCGTTATGGACAGTATTGTATCGACTGCCATACAATATGACAAAAATAGAGCGCAGGAAGTGTAGGCTGGGCTGGTGTTAGAAGTAGGGCCAAGTGATAAACTGTGTCCGTTTAATGAAGGGCCTTGCGAAGCGGGATATTGTCTTATTATTAATGACTTGCAATAAAAGCTCGAATAAATTTTATACCTTGATCTCATCAAATATTCCTAGTTAACCTTTCAATTAACTAACGAAATGCTCAGAACTCAACCCAGCCACTTTTAACAAGCTGTACATCATTAAAATCGGTCTTAAAGCGCTGATTTCAAATATGTGTTATTTTTTCTGCCATACACTATATGGAATGAGTTATTATGAGCGTTCAGATATGAGAAATTTTTTCGAGTTTCGACGAATACATTTCCTTGACAGGCAGCGCATGATGAACGGATTCACACCGGCTATGGTTATTTCAAGTAAAAGGAGGTTAAGCAAAAACCTAAATAAGCGTTTTTGGGAGTATTTCGTAAAAAATGAGCCACAGAGCACTAAGTTATGACCATTTCCTGCTAAGCATTGAAGAAAGTGGAGAAGCCTTTCACCAGTACCGATAATGTGCAGCGCAGGGCCCGGCGTAGATTGGCTGGAAGCAGGCTGGACCTCATTTTTGGAGCAAAAAGCAAAGGAGATAACGTTTTTGACGAGTCGGGGACCAGCACCAAGAATAAGCGCCATATAGTCGGATACAAGCTTTTCGGACAGGTTATCACACAAATGACATGCTCTATCGTGTATGGCGAAAAGTGCGCGCGATTTAGAAGCAAGCCTAAATTAAAGAAATTGCTTGTTTACAGCACACACAGAATCATATGACACCAAAATTGAACCGTATACATAGAAAATTCCTGGGGAAGAACTATGTAAAAAGGTTTGAAAACCTATAAGAAGAAATACCTTTTCCAAAATTAGTCCTTCTCCAGACGGCCACCAGACGATCTGAGATCGTCTGAGGCATATACTACTGTCACTTCACATAAGTTTTGGATTTTTCTATCAGAGACGGATTCCCCGGTCAAAAATTTATCTCTGAGCATAAAAACATTTTCATATCATTGCCTTTCCTTTGTTTTTTGCCTTCATTTCTTCATATATCGCTTTGTGAAATATCGCGCTCCAAAGCCAAACTCTTGTGCATGCCTAGTATTCAGCTCCAATTTGGATTTTCACTCTTATCTTATGTTTTTTCTTTCAGACTTGAAAGTCTTTCTTGTTTTCATCTTCTCCTAGGCAGATAGGTCAAAGGGACGTAAAAGTTCGTAAAAGTTCCAAAGTTCGTTTTCAGAAACCCTAGAAACCGCTCGTGACGGCACTGGTGCAGCGCCACACACAGACTCAGGATAATATGTTATCTTTCAGTCTATCATTCCACATTAGTTGACCGAAAAATAATCAGCTTCTGTTAGTGTTGTAGTCCTTGACTTCCTTGGGTTGAACCGGGCACAGTGGAATACTTAGTAATTTATTAGCTGACCGAGAATAGTGAATGGATCATCGATTGGCTACGCTACCTATATATACACACGGCTGCGAGAACGTACCACTCGGTACCAGGCACCGAGGAGAGCTTCATGAGAACAGGCGGGAACTCATGGGAAAGAGTTTAAATCTAGCACAACGAGGTATTAGGGATCGAAACACAACAAAAACAAGGATGAACGATACAAAACAAATACTACATACTATATACACATCACTCCGCAACAGTTAGACTTAGTGAGAGTTTTAAGTTCTTCCCTAAAGAAGAATGTCTGTACCTTGATATCTATTCTATTATTCTATTATAACCACATCAAGCATCATAGAGGCCTGTTGACGGATTCACAATTACACGCGAACGAATGTTGAGCTGTTGATCAAGAAATCCTCGCATACGATGACAATATTTAGAGAGAGAAGTAAGGATAATGGAGATTTTGTTGGAGAAATGGAATCGACATCGCGATCTAGTAGACCAAGAGAGCATGTCAGCGATGCCGTGATTATAGGTGCTTCCGTTAAAAGCCCACTATTGTATCGTCGTCTCCCGGCGTACGTTGAGCGGAGCTTTTGCGGATATTTCAACACGTTGGCGGACTTGTCAAGCCTCTACAAGTATGATTCTTTCCACTCTCTAATTTGCCACGTATATATGCCGTCGTTACACGTGGCGGAGTTGGTAGCGAGAGATCACAAAAAACAATGCCTTGCAATAGAGGGTTAACAAGTTCACCAACGTGATGAAATGTCCGCAAAAGCTCCGCCCAACGTACGCCGGGGAGACGACGATATTTTTATTTTTTCTATAAGCGATCAACAGTAAACTACAGCATAACGCAGAATTTGTACCCATTAGAATTTTTTTCTTCATTTTAAGTGCGATAATGGAGTTATTGGGGATCAAGAGGAATTCTTCTTCAAAGCCCCCGCAAACCCACCTTTTGTTGATCCCACCGCTCTTCATCCAATGTTCCATCTCCATCTCAAGTGGGCGAGAAACGATTAATCTGTCCCTACGGCGTTCCACCTTTAGAGCCATGCTCAGGCTTAACATGGACAAGAAGAATACCAGTACAATACACTTCATCCTGATAAAAACTCTTTTGGCTTTACGAAATTGAAAAATATTAGTTTGGTCCGAAAATCAACACGTACAGTCTGCCCCAATCCCAACCAGGCCAAAATTGGCATGGCGGGAGACCGCGTCGCTAGGGTTTCGCGGTCACGCCCACGGCCTGCTTCTCTGCCCTCTCTTCAATCTTTTTGCTCTCTCCGACAGCGCGCATATGCAGCGCAGACCATTAGCGCTGCGAGCGCGCAAATTTACGCTGACGGTTCGGCCTGATCCCGATTGGAGCAGACTTTACTATAATAAGAAACTAGAGAGCTTTTCAGCGTAAGACAACGTTACATTCGAATGAGTTTCGGAAAAAAACCGGATGACTTCTGATTTTTGAGCGCTCAGAGGAGTAAAGCATTATATTACGCTCTTGCAGATTCCTCCACACACTTGCACATTTCCATAACTCATGTAAATAACTTTCAAAAATTATGTGGCCAATTCTCAAAGCGCGAGGGCATGGGGAGGGAAAGTTCCCTCGGAGGGGTGTCACCTATTTTCTGACCTTATTTTTCGTTTACATTTACAAGAGTATGCTCTAGAGCATAGTACTTGAAGGCATTCTTTAGCTCAACTAAGGGAGGGGGGTGGGGCTTCAGAAAATAGCGGAAAAGGGGCGGTACGCTAATCCCGCTTCCTTGAGATGTGGCGAATGCTGTAGATCTGATTTATTAACCATGTCGAAACTTGCCAATGAAGCCGGATTAACGTACCGCCTTTTTTCTGCTATTTCCCAAGGCTTTTCTTGCTTCAGAATTCACCTTTTTCGATTGGACTTGAACTGTTGCATCAGCCAGGAACCGTGCTCGCGCACATCAAAATTCCATTACCTCCCAGTTGACCTGGACAATGTCTCAAGCAAATTCAACGGAAATAAAGGTGCGCAACATGGAGTAAGTTTCACATGTTTAGAAAAAACGCTTAAAGCCAAGATTTGTTTCCACGAAAGAACAAAAACTGAAGCTCTTTAAAAAAGCTGAAGATATCACCTCTTTTATACCGAGATATGCATTACAATGAATTATCGCTGTTATGTGTGAATCCTGCCGATTTCAGAAATAAAATTTCGATAAAAATTTTGAAAATTGCCCGTAAGGCCTTATTGCCAAATATCGTTTGATGGTTTACGACCAAATTTGACTAAACTAGCAGATTCTCTAATTCTCTACTACGTAATTGCGATGTGGAGTTTTCATGGAAGTTCTTGAAAGCAATTAAGCAGCAGAACGCCGATTATAGGCAAAGCAGAGGGAATTTTGCATTTTCAAGCTGAATAATTATGAAATCTCTTACATTTCTCATGATACGTAAAATCGTTTGTCCTAAATGCTTCATCTTGTACGCAGTATGTAACAGAATATTTAGTCTTGATATTACCTAACACGAGTATTCAAAAAAGTTGCTCAAGAGCCTGTGCAGCATCGGACGCAGCATGATGACATGGAAAACATGAACGGCCAGTGAATTCACACAGTACACAGAAACTGTGAATAAATTATCGACATTTCTTGTCTGTCACTGTCTTTTTTCTGGAAAGAGATAGGCTTTATTAAGTCTCATGTAAAGCAAAGTTTTTTTTTCGAGAAGAAACAGATTATGTGATGCCACATTACGTTAACAGCGAGATGAGTGTAGTAAGTCGCACATTCACGAGCTTCTCCTCAGCGCCTGCAGTCAAAACTCTACAATACGGAAGCATAAACTAGCACTAAATGGAACTTACCTCAACTTGTCAAACACGGGAATGCCTGTTTGAGCGTCCCTCATTCTTGCTAAAAAAAAGTTTTTCTAAGGAGGCTTGTGCTTTTTGCTGAACTCTTTGGACACACTTATTGTTAAAGATAATATTATTCTGGTCAGAAGCAGTCTGAATATGAGAAAAATTACAATCTCATTTATCTGTTAGATATAAAACTCAGTGTCTACTGTTTGCATCTATGTTTGTATGTTCGCGAGTTTCGAATAGAAAATTTCATTTCTGAACCGATCGGGACCAAACCTTGCATGCAACCTCGGGGTAGGGGTTGTCGTACTTACTTATCGTCACCGACAGTGTTTTGTCGGTTGACGCACAGTATAACAAAAAATAGAGCGCACGGAAGTGTGGGGTCAGCTGGTGTTAGAAGTGGGGTCAAGTGATAAACTGTGCCAGTTATGTGACGGGACCGTGCAAAGCGGAGTATTCCATCTACTTACCTATTAAAGTAGACCTCAAATAAATTTTATACCTTGTTCTCATCAAAATTATTCTTAGTCACCTTGACCTCTCAACTAACTAAAGTAAGCATTAAGCAAAAGTGAAAAGCTTTCATTATCAGTACCGATAAGCAGCGTCCCAGAGATTCGGGATAAAATGTATTCTTTTAATTTACGATTACACATTGATTGAACTAAAAATCAGTAAACTAATTGAATATTAAGCTCTTGCGCTGAAGAAAAATGTATGTACCTTGATACCTAATCTTTATTCTATTCTAACCACATCGAACATCATAGAGGCCTGTTAATGGCTTCACGATTATAAGCGGATGAATGCTAAGCTGCTGAGTGACAAATCTTAGCATAGATAACAATGTCTTGAAAGAGAAGCGCCCGCCATACTTGATCCTCTTGATTCTTTTGATCCACTTGATCCGCTTCGTGCAGAACCCGCGCACACAGCAGTTTGTCATTTGGCGCCGCGTAGGTAAAAAAATTCGTATGGTCAAGCAAATTCGTTGTGCGCGACGCGAAACGACAAATTAGTGACGCGCGTTTTGCACGGAGAAGATCAAGCGGACCAAGCGAATCAAGTAGATCAAGTGGATCAAGACGATCAAGCATGGCAGGTGCCAGAAAAATAGGAATGGGGACTTTGTTGGGAATAGTGGAATCTACGTAGCGATCTGGTCGACCAGATAGCATGTCAGCAACGCTGTGCTTATGAGTGCTCCCGTTGAAGACTCACTGCTGTATCATTTTTTCTGCAAGCAGTCAACAGTCAGCTCCGGCATAACACCTCAGACAACTGCATCGAGAAGTTCGCGGGCTTGCTCGACCACCAATCGTCCATGCCGCGAGCTGCCCCGTATTAGCCGATATTGGACCCGATAATTGACCTCGGAGCATTCTGTAAGTGCCCGTTTTGAGCGCCTATGGTTGACCGGAATAGCATACTTGTAAGGCCTAGAAAAAGTGAAAAAAAGTGCAAATTGGGCAACTTGTTAGCTCGTCTGTCGATCTTTTGACCTGTCTTTCACGACAACCGACTTGAGTGCAAAATTGAGTAACTCGTTAGCTCGTCTGTCGACATAATCTAATGCCGTCAATAACAATCATCCGACTGCTGAAGATTGTTTCGTATGCATAAAAACTCAAAACATCAACAGTATGAAAGCCGAGAAACGATTACACAGCCTTGCAAACACTTAGGGTAGTCCCATCGCTACGGCGTGCCTCATGCGGGTTGCGCCTTAACCTACAGCGTGTAAGAAATGCGGTCTTTACAAGGCCCGCGGCCCGCCGAGTGAGGTGATTGGGCCGCAAATCTCCCGACAATCTCTTCCCAATCTCAACTTTGGCCGCGACATTCCCGGGAAAATATACATGGGCCGCGGCGTGCGCGGCTGAAATTTCAAGGGCCCAGCGCGCCATGTAACATGCTTTGAGACCGCGAACTTTCCGATGCAATTGTCTGAGACAGTGAATACCGCCCCAAAATTTCTATTCTCCACTTTGAAGGCGGTGTTCGCCCTCTAGGGGATATAGCCGTGGTGAGGTTTCTGATCACCTCACTAACATTCAGGCCCCGTCCGGCTGCTTGATGTTCCCCCCTGCCCCAAGAAAATAGTCCGTGAGCCGGCGCGCGCTCGGACGGTTTTACTGAACTGTTCGGCTGGACTCCACACGAATCTCGCATTATGCATACCATCCAAGGCAAAAATTACAGGCGGCAGGGTCTTCGCAGGGCCTTCCAACATCCCATTGAAACTCTTGTCTGAGTTGCCTTCTGGAAATTGGGTAAATTGGGTCACCCCAAAAACGGTCTCTTCACCCGGTCTAAAGCTCAAATTCAGATTCTATGTGTCGAAAAGGCCCAAAACATGCAGAAAGGTGGAAAAGGAAAATCTGCCAAGACACTGCCTTTGAGTTCAATGATGGAGAGCTCCTGGGGCATTAAAACAACCAGTGGCCGTATTCATCAACGAACCCATTGGGTAGGGTCAACCCACGAGAGCGGTAATCACGAAACTAGTGGTTCCGGTACCCAGTGGGTTAAGCCTAACCACGGTTGCAGAACCCACGAAAAGCCACCTAATCGGTCATCACGAATGAACCCAGTAGGTTCGCGAATTCAAAAGTCGAGCATACTGGTATTCACGAAACAAGTCACCTAGATCCTGTGGGTTCAAGCACCTGGTCGCGCACTCAAGTGTGAAGCAAAGATTGCAATGGGTTACATGCGAACCTAGTCCCTTTGTTGAATATGTAAACTTTCATAAGTGAATATAGTTACTACTAGCAACATTTATACATCAGGAACGCTTTCCATAATTTCTTTTATGACTGATAAGAATTTTGTTGGATAAATTTTGATAAGATGAATGGAATGGAATGCAGAACTAGCAAGCTTGATGCCACTCACAATCTGGCAGTCTTTGTAAAGTCACAAACAAGCTTTTAAAAGGGGAATTTACGTTAATTATTAGAGAGACTGAACACTTGCCGAAGTCCGATCCAAGAAAAACGTACTCCCCCTACGGCATCCTCACAATACAAACGGACAAAGACTTGAGCGCTTCCTGCCTTGTAAATTCCGTTCAAAAGTAGAAAGGTGTAGATTTACTTATTTTGTGTAGCAAAAGCATTCATTGGATAAAACCTAGCTACCCCTTGTACTATGACAATTGATCAAACTATGCAAATTCGGGAATGTCAGCTATGTCATGCAATCTTCGAAAATTGTGGTTAATATCTTCCTTATGAGGAGACAACTCTGAACA